ATGGTACTGGGATCAAATTGGATGAAACAATTTAATCCAGTTTTATTTGATTTGGTTCACTCCCAAGTATCATCTAAGATTTTGGGAAGGGAAGTAGTACTGCGATGTATTGGCCAAGGCTGAGAAAAGTCTCTTGCAGTAGACTTCAAGAAATATTTGGGGTTGGGAAGAACCTCACAACTGTAACTGCAGGCAATCTCCTATATCACAATCATTTTATCTCTTCTTTCAACTAATTCTAATTTTTTTACTATTGAAACCAAGGAAGCTCAAATATGCAGAGCCATAAAATATACATATACATATATATATATAAGAAGCATGAGCTGTGCTATGTCAATAAGTTTCCCTTGAAAATCTAGTTGAGACACAGCCAAAAGCCTACTGCAATGCTTCAAATAAATAGGGACCATAATGGAAAAGAAACCCAGTAACAAGAAATTCATAGAGATTGCACTGCAATCAAACCGGCTATGTATGAAATATCTTCCAAGTGAAACAAAATTGAAAGAAATCAAACTAACTAGTCACTTAGTCAGTAATTGAATTCAGACAAAAGAACCAACTAATCAAATTGAAAAGCAACCATACCCACGAAGCACAAAACTTAAAGATAATACCTACCACCCAATAAGGCAAGCCCTGAACAGTCTGGCTAACAGAAAGCCAAAGAACACCATAGCCTAAGAAGCAAGCAACAGCACCAACAAGCAGCACAGCCCAGGGAGGGAACTTGTTGCAGGCAATACCAGGGAGCAAACCCATATTCTCCCCAATATCATTAGCCACACCAAGCATAGTCAACTGCTGCTGATTGAAACCCAGCACGGATTTCAGTGCAGAGGAGTAAAGCGGGAAGTTGTAAGCGTTCCCTGCTGCAACCTGAACCCAAACTGCTGCTCCTAATCCCACCCATGGCGGCCTACTCCCTGCTTTCAACACTTGCTTCCGCATTTGAACAAGAAAGCCCCTTTTTTTTTTATTTTTTAATCCTTTTGGCGTTGTGGGTATCTTGGGATTGGGATTCTTAACATGTATTAAACCTAGATTGCTGATGACCCACCAACCATTCAAGTTATTTGTAGATAAAAGACAGAGATAGAGACAGAGGGATGATGGTCCTGAACAGGCTCAAGGTTTTAAGGACGATGGTCTAATCATATAAAAATATCACATGCTAACGGTAGAACAAAGAGTCAACGTTATGGATAAATTCACACGGTAGAATCTTCTTGTTTATCCTTTTCTCCCATAACGGTTCATACTTATACCTGCATGGTTTTAATCTTCAGACAAATATACGAAGCGGCAGATCACACACAGTTTAACCTCACGGGCATGGAAATGGAAATACTGCAATTCATGAACAGCTCCGCTTTCAATAAAATACGAGAAAGAAAAATCATAAAATATTTAAATAAATTTTAGAACTCCATAAAAAATGATAAATGTTAATAATAATTTAAAATAATGTTTAAACATAATCTAATCAATACTAATAACCTTTGTAATATCAATTATGAATAACCATCCAAGGGTTTTCAGGGTTAAATGTTGTTATTATTTTTAATACAAAAATACAGATTTATTATTATAAAAGTAATAATATTAACAGAATTTATTAATTATATAAATTATAACTATTTTTTTTTTATAAAAAAAATATCAAATAAGTACATTTGCATTTCAAACTTGGATGAGAATTGAATAAGTTTACTAAATAAATTGTTGTTACTTAATTCAACTCATTTAATTATTAACTAAACCTATGAAAAATTACCAATTTCATTTATGATAATAAAATTTATATAACATGTTTTCACAGTAAAATTTATTTCTCTTAACTTAGTGATATGAAGAAACAATTTGAGATTATAATAATTCTATTTAAGATAAGAATTGAAAATAAATTATTTATTATGATTTTTCTCTAATATCCGCTACCATCATCTACATTTTTTGAATAAATAAATTAATTTATTCTTGTTAAATTCATTATTGTTAACCTTATATGATTATAACTTTTAAATCTCATAGAAAACAAATATAAGTAAAGCACAGAATTTCTAAATTTAAGCACCAAATTATGATAAAAATAAAAGAACGTTTGGAATCTAATTAAGAACTAAAATGGTAATATGTCATGCTATCTAATTATCGTTTCATTTCATAGCATTGATAAGTCGGTCCATTTTAAATAAGTTTGAGGCTAAAATAGATTACATCATAGAACAAACTACAGCAAAGAGAAGTAGGTATCGATATGCAGCAACCGAAACCCGCTGCCACAAGTCATAACAGATTAAATTCTTGAAAGCAGAAGAAACACACCCAGAGCGCTTAAACAAATCAGATACACCGAAAAACCAACAAAAAATAGAAATAACAAAAACTGAAAACCAATATAACAGTAAATCCTCTTCATTTCATCAAATAAGTCATCTCAAACTCATTTTGTATTTAAGCAATGGCCTATAACAGCAGCAGCTAAAATATTAACCACTACATTCGAAGTAGGAGACATCAGAACTGGCCTAAATCAGCACCACATATAACATGTAGCAAAACCTGGAACAATACATTGCCAGAGCAAACCACTATAAAATGGGCATGCCTAGGTTTTTGTCACTTCCAAAATCAATGATTTGAAGATTGAGGCAGAAGAAAAGAACCCGAAGCATAGAGTGACTTATAAACTGGGCGTATTCTAACTGTCAAAATTATGCTCAAGACTGCAACTAGCATGTTAACACCCGCTAGAATCAAGAATGTTAACCTGAAGCAATCAGGACCCAAGCAGATGGACCTTCCCTGCCTTGAAGCTTCTGCATCATATACATGAGCAGCAAGCAGTCCCGAGAAAAGCATAGCACCAGCAGGATTTCCCAGAAGTATGAAATTATAAATGATTCCAAAATGTTTCAAGCCAAAGAGCTCAGAGACTGTAGGAATTGCCAAGTAGAGAAACCCAGTGCCAACTCCAAGCAGTGCAGTTGCAGCGTAAAGAGTACCACTGAGAGCTAAAGCATACAAAAGGAAAGTTACGACCATAATAAGTTGACTCAATATTATCCAGAATGTTCGAGGAATTGTCCTTGACCTGCCAGGAACAATTTACAATAATGTTATCAAAAAGCCCTAGTTAATGGTGCAAAAAAATAAAAACAGTAGGTTTTTCTTCTCAATATAAGTTGTAAAAACAGATGGTTTTGATCCTACAATGTAAAATTAACTAAAAGAAAACAAGGGAGGCCAGCAACTCGGAGAACTATGTAGAAAAGAAAATAGAAAAATCCTCTCCTCACTGGAAATCCAAACATATGAGAAGCATGTTGATTAGCACAGAAGAACCAACTGGAAAGTTTAACAGCAAGTGTATATAGTTTTAAACTGAAATAGTAATCAGTAAAGCATATATAAACTGAAGTGAACAAATAATGACCTGATAAAGTGTTCAGAAATAGCACCCGAGCCAAGACGACCAAGGAAATTGAAAAAGCTGAATAGACACAACAATATTGTTGTATCTTCAACACCAAATGCAGCCCCAATTTGAGCCAAGTTGTTGAGAACAGTCACTCCAGAACCAGCCCCAAGAAAATATATCAGCCACAGAAGCCAAAAGTCGGCCTTGATAAAAGCCTCAGTAAACTTGAAATCTTCTCCCCTCCTCGGTCTCTTTTTCTTCTTTACTGCTCCCTCCCCCTCAGCAAGAAGTGTTTCCACATCTGAGGCATACTCATTCTCAGAGAAACTTCCGAGATGTGAAGCTGATGATGACGGAGCCAATAATGGATCTGTTTGGGTTGAATCACTTTCGACATGAGCCACATTCTCTGAAGAACCTGCTTGTGGGCTAAGTTTCTTGGTACTGGCAGGGAAAAGTGTCATTTTGATTGGAATTGCCAGTGGAGCCATCAAGATTATAATCATCCCAGCAATTAGTATGTAGGAAGTCTCATCATTCAGTGAAACCCTCCGACTTATTACCGTGGTTACAAGAAGATAGCAGGCAAGCAAAATACTTGCAGCTTGGGCAAAAACAAAATGGACATGCACAGAAGAGTCTTCACCGGAAGCTGGGGTACAAGGCCGAATGAAGAACATCATAGATGAACATATTATTGGAAGTCCAAGAGCAAGGAACAAAAGAAGATCAGGAGTAGATTGGTCTAGTATCAAATTATATACCACTGTATATACTGCAGCACTGATTCCAACATAGCCTTTGAGGATACCCGCAACAGTTCCCCTACTGAGGGGGAAGTTCCTCATGTTAGTTACTAAAACTGCAGTGCTAAACCATGCATTGCTATTGGCAGCAAGAACAAGTGCAAGCCATAACTGCCATAATATTGAACAATAAAAATGTGAGAATGGTAAAGCAGAAACATATAGAAGGAAATCAAGACATCAAACTGTTAACATTCCTTGAGAGATTGCAGAAAGCTGGGACAAGCAAAATTTGCATGTGAAATGCATAAAGATTTCTTAATAAGCACTTGTGTTTTTCATTTTTTTTTTCCTTTCAACTGGAAAAGAAGTATTATTATATAAAGAGAAAAAAAAAGGTGAAAGGAGGAAAAACCATCATCACCTAATCAAGGATAGCTAGCCAATCTCTGTTCAAAGTAGACAAATAATAATCTTTAAAATGCCTATGCGACTTAGTCCAATAAGACACCAAAAAAGGGACCACCTAACTAAAGGAAGAATAAGAAAACATGTCCATAAGAATCCTGACATTTTTCTTCAACTATAACACCCACAAAGCAGCAAAGAGAGTGCAACGCAATAGAGACTTAGGCTCATTATTCCTACCAACACTATAAATAGCAAAAGAAACCCTCTAGATGAGAAGGAAACATCTTTTTCATTTGGGACATCTGATTACTTTTATGTTTCTTTATTTGCTGACATCTCTACACATGCCAAAATGGTAATATCAAACTCTCAAATTAATATTCTTTATGATTTATTTAAGAAAATGTTAGAAGAATTAAAAGAAAACTTCAGTTCTATGGAAGTAAGTTTTATTCATTATCTAACCATCACTGCATCAATGTGAATGTGTTAGATAGGGCCAGAAAATGACTTTTAAAAATCGGTTGGGATACACTCTAAGATGTCACTGGAGTGGTCCTATGATGAAAGATTTCATGGCTGGACAACTAAGTGTCACCTTGACCAAAAAGGTTTAACACAAATCTCGCAGTTTCCAGGTATAAGGTTATTGAATTAAAACTCAGAAATCTATGTACTCCAGCATTTTTTTAATCAATTTTCAATCCTCTAATTTCACTCTTATCAGGCTCCAGCTAATATTACTACCACAGGTAAATAGGCAAGAGACATGCTTCCATTGATTCTGCCTTAAAAATATGAAGTAAAAAGTAGCTAAACAACAAAAACCAATGAAACTTTTCAAAAATAAAATAGCTACATATGTAATTTTGATCATGAGGAGTGTGGTTCAGTACCCCAAAGTTATTTACTTACAATGGGAGAGAGAATATGGAGAAGATTATTTTAACTTTTGTGTTTTGCGCTATGGATGTATACTATTATACACCTAACCTACTCAATCCAAATCAGAGAAAACTCCCTCTATGATACATGGTACAGTTACTTTCAACTGTACACTGACCCTTCGGCAATAAGGAAAGACACTCAAGAGACTAAGATTTTGGTTAGCAAATGGAACATTTTTTAATTTTTGTAAATCTAAATTATTTTATACATAAAAACGTGTCTAGTGGTATGTATACGCGTGGAAATCACATAAGTTTCTAAGAAAACACTAAAAATAACTTTCCACTATTTTCAAACCCATATCACATTTTCACTACCATTTTCAATTAACACAAGTTTCTATTTTTATATAAACATGTATGTTTCTAGAAAGAAAAAATATATTTGCAAATGTTCGATGTCAAGCTCTAGAAATCATACGTGAAAATTATCTACCCAACAAACAGTGCAGGGACAGTGCTATTACTCGAAATGAACTATTGAGATCATATATCAACACAGCTAACATTCCTCAAACATGACTAAGTTGCTTAAAAGTTCCAAAGTAAAATCTAATCAACAAGATCTAAACAAGTAGAAGCTTCAGGGTATTTTCAACTAGAAAATGACAGAAATTCTATTACCAGAATAAATCAAATTTGAAGCACAATGATCCAGTTTCAGATACATGTTAACTTAAGAGCGTGTCTTTAGTTGTTTTACAATAGAATTCAATGCATGAGAAGATATAAGAAGTACTTCTTTCATTAAAGTAAAATTTAAACCCAGTTCAGATGATTCGTAAAAAAAGAAGTAATCGAATAGAACCAGCATCTGAACATTAATTGAAAATCTAAAATCAGATAAAGCAATCAAACAGCCAGTAAGCACATCCCGTAAAAACAAGGAATATACAACAAAAGAGAAATCAAAAACCCCCATTGAAATTTAAAAACAATAAATCACCAAGCAAAATCATTACCAAAAATGCTAATAGAACCTACAAGTTTGCATGTAATAATCCGAATTAGCTCTCATCGGCTTCTAATTAAACAGATCGCAAAAGATATAGATACAGAGAAGAAAACAAGCAGAGCGATAACCACTGACCACCCAATAAGGCAAACCCTGAACAGTCTGGCTAACGGCGAGCCAGAGGACACCATAGCCGAAGAAGCAAGCGACAGAGCCGACGAGAAGCACAGCCCATGGAGGAAACTTGTTGCATGCAACACCAGGGAGCAAACCCACATTCTCCCCAATATCATTAGCGACACCGAGGATGGTGAGATGCTGCTGATTGAATCCAAGCACGGATTTCAAGGCAGGAGAGTAGAGTGGAAAGTTGATAGCATTGCCAGCAGATATCTGAACCCAAACAGCTGCTGCCAACCCCACCCATGGCGGACGGCTCCCTCCTTTAAGAACAAGCTTCGGCATATGAACCTGTGTGTTTTCTTCGTTTGTCGTCGATCAAGAACAGAGTGTTGAAATCTGAAACTGAAGAAGAGAAGTGCGGGTTCTGAGAAGGGTTGGGTAGGGAAATACAATGAATATAAATGCGAGCCTGATAGATACAAAGACATATATATTAACATAATAATATCGCGTAACAGGCTGCTTGCAGTTGGTGTAGAAAACCCGAGGCTCCTTTTCCCAGGAGTTGTTAAATATTGAAATGTGACAGAGAGAGAAAAAGAAGATCCAAAACGAAAAAGAAAACAAAAAAGAAGAACGAAATAAAAAATGAAAGCCAATGGAAGGGCATGTTGGTAATTTAGGATCACGTGCAATTAGTCACGTGACCGAAGGAGTCTATTACTTTTCTAAATATTATTAAATAATGATTAATTAGACAGAATTTAATAAATTATATGTCTAATTATAATCAGATTTAGTTTGAAAAAGAAAAAAATTGAGAAGATTCTTGTTGTCACCTTACAGCAATTTAGAAAAAATAAAAAATTGGGTGACAATAATTTTAAAAGATAATAATTTAGTCAAACACGATTTAGATTCAAATTACGTTTAAAAAATTAAAAAATTTAAAAAAAATAAAAAAAAGATAAAATCTAAAAGAATTAGTGAGCCGAAAAGAAGCAATAATAAACAACTTAGCTAATGAAGCACCATAAAATACCAAGAACTTTCTTTGGTTATTGGTTTTGGTCTATGTCCAAAGCTTCTCCTCGTATCTGTTTTTAGTTTGCCATCAAAGGCAAAGCTCTTTCCGTTGATGATAACCTCTGTATACTCGTGTATCTTCAGTATGATTCACTATTTAATCAATTATTCCTCGTCGATGCATCTCCAATCAATGGTGGATGCACCAACAAGTATTATATTACCCGCAAACTTAATTACTTTTAATTTTTTTTTAAGTTTTCATAATTAAGTAATTTTGATATATAAAATATTTATATATTTTATTAAAATTTAATCATTAAAAAAAATAGTACCAACATTAACTCAAATATATATAATTATTTTTGAAGTAAATAAAATACGAAAAAATAATAACTCAATTACATCTTATCCGAAAGAAGCAAAAGATTTGACAAAATTTTGAAATCCCGTTAACAATTTGAACGAAAATTATCATCATTTGAAAGATGATGCAACCTAAAACGAAATGGTAACAGTCATAAGCCAGATGGGCACAAAATAAATATATCATAATAATACCACAATTTTATCAATGAAAAAGACTGTTTCAATATTTATTTTATTTAAGAAGGGTGAAATTTTCTTCTAAAAATTGCCTAAAGTTTCAAACCTGAACTTAATTACTGGGGCTGTCCTATACAAATTGACAGCATAAAATGTTTACCCCCCTGAAACCACAAAACCACATCAGGAAGGCAGATCGGCAAAATTTAGCATATTACAAGGTATGCTCAAGATTTTTCCCAAAATCTTCAATTTCAGTCCTGCAAGGACCTATTTGAATATCTGTTTCCAACTAATTGCTCCAAAACTATATATAATATATATATAGTTTCTTTTTGGGTAAGTACAGATTATTGTGCTAAGCTCACACAGTTCTCCCAAGAGCCATATTTAGAGCTGAAGGTGCCTCCTCCCCTCTGCTGTGCATACTCTGAAATCACGGCACGCGCACAAGTGCCCCAGGTCCTTGCTATATCTCCAAGTGACATCGGGTGTGAAAGGCTACGCAGAGATATGCTAAACTTTGACTTTGCTTTCACTGAGATATCTTCATTTTCGTTTCTGTCACACAGACCATCAAACTTAATCTTAGCATAGAAACAAAAGATAAATAAATATTCATATTCAAACCAGAACATAAAAGTGAACGCAATATCTATCGCTAATAATGCTTCATTGCATCACCATTTAGCTACTACAAGATTTTCATCTAACTAACATATGTGGTTATGCACGCACTCATGAATTGTATGACAAACCTGAACTTTCTAAAGTACTAGTCTTCAGCAACATGGAAGAAGACCGAGACGAAATAGATAGTAGTCACCTCTTTTCTTTTTTTATATAAGAACTATAAGATTATAAAGCATTAGTCAAACCACAGGCTAAGGCTCCAAAATTCTCAATTTAAAATCAAAATCTCCAAAAGTACATCAGAAGACATCAATTCACAATTTCTTAAGAGAAAGAATTTAAATAGATGATGCTAGAAGGGAAAAGAATCTACCAGAGAAGAATATTCAGAACCATTTTTCAAAATAAGCAGAATTTATATAATTTTTGAACAAATTAAGAACTTATCCTTAAACTATAATTCACAATATAATTTGGTCCCAAAATATTTTTCATGACAATTCAGTACCTGACTTTAAAAACTTATTGTAAAATATAATTTTTTTTAATAGCTCTAGATACTATGAAAAAAGTTATTATAAATGAAACTTGTTCAGCTAGCGCTCTCAGTGTACCACACCTGACCACATATCTGTAACTAAGCCTTGTGTCCAAAAACATAAAATCTAAAAAAACCGCAAAATTCTAAGGTAAATTCTTTCCAAAGATTTAACACCCTCGATCTTCCAAGCAGCTGTCACTCTTTCCAAAAGCATTTGCATTATCGCATACTCATCCACACTCGCAGTTTACTTCCTTAATTCCTACTTTCTTGGACTTTGTTCGCTCCCTATCAAAATCATCTCCCTTCCGTTCCATCAAAGATCCAAGTTGCCTCTCCCACCTCAGACAATTCACAAATGCATCCTCCAGCTCAACCATCAATTACTACACCAATAGTACTTTACCTTTGAACCAGATACAGCACTTGAGCCACCATTGACACATCCACGCAAATTGACTCAAGCATCAAGTTCCCCTCACAATGAGTCACAAACCCACTAATTGAGCCATAACTCAGAATTGCCACTTACTCAGGATTTCATCAACAACAGTAGCTGGTCAAATCAATTCCCCATTCCAGAGCAACAAATCCAAGCATGGGTTGGGATGTTTTGATATGGCATGCTCTAACTGTCAAACATGGCTTGTTTGCATCACTAATGAGAATCTATGGCCATTTTCTTTGACCCAACAGCATCTTTCATAAATGGTTCTTGGGGAACGAGACTAAGCTACAAAAACAGAGAACTCCAACACTTCTTTTGGGCTGAGAATCAATCAAAGTTAAGCATTGTGTAGATTGACAATATGGCCAGTTCTCCGGTTCACTAGAAGAAATAAATGGTTCAACATGGTAAATGGGAGCTATAGACCTATCAGACACACAGCTCATTGGTTATAGCTTTGATTGTTTGATCCTGACAATTCCAGAAGCTTTCATCAAGGGTGCTGAACATTTGTGAAAAAGTTGAAACTATGATAAAGAAGAAGCTCTTCAATCTTCCAAGAACTGGAAACATGAGCTGTGAATTTGATCTTCCAAGAATCTATCTTCAATTTGAGATCTTCATCAAGCGACCCAATTCAATCACTGTGTTGCTCAATTGGTTTTTGTCCCAAGAGGTGAGTTGAGGATTTGGGGAGGAGGGGCAGGTGTGGTTAGCTATTCTGTTTTTAGATTTTTTTTAAACATGAGGTTTAGTTACAAATACTGAAGTCCTGTGTACAATAGCAGTACATATGAGAGAATTAGCCAAACCAGTATTATGTATAAGAATGTTTTTCTTTTGGTATTTAGTTAAAAAAAAACTGCATTTTAACACAAGTTAATAAGTCTAGGAACTAAATAGTAAAGGTACTTTTAATTGTACTATGTGGCAATTCAATAATTAAATTGGTGACTCTTCCTAATTTTTAGTAAATTTTATCATATAAACTCATTGATGAATTGATTTTCTCCAAGAAAATTTTCATCTAAACAAAAAATTTGCAAGATAAATAGTCCTTTAAGATAAAATTTTCCCTTACCCATCTTCAACAGGAAACTTGTCTAGAAGTATCGGAGAGCAACTCGGATAATTTGTTGGGACTAACAAACGTAAAGGCTGAATTGGTGGCTGCAAAGGAAAATAGGAAAATACACATAAGAGATGGATGCTCATGGTTACCATGCCACTTTCTCTGGGATGAATAAAAAGCATACCATTTGTTCTGAAGAATAATGTGATTTCAAGTTTGGACAGAGAGCCACAGCACTGAAAGAGCACTTGACAAAAGTTCCTTCACTTCCTTCAGGAAAAGCCGCCGCCACTGCACTTGGATCAACATCATCGCAGATGTCAACCACTGTGTCTATCAATCGCTGATTTATTTCCTTTATTTCCTCCAAAAGGGCATGATTAGCCTGCAAAAGGGTTAAGATCTCTTTGGATTGAAGATGGATGCACATTATGGCAGAGAAGAGAATTTCCTATTCTTGTGTCAAAGCAATACTAGTAATATCAAATTATAGGATATGAAAAAGAAGAGAAATTTAGTATGGGATTAAATGGTAAAATTAGGTCATGTGAAACTTGAGGTTTACTATAATAATTGAGAAAGTTTTAATCAGAAATGCAATGGAACCAGAAGATCACATTTAAGACAAGGTTCAAAGGGCAAAAATTCCTATATGAAGGACCTTGTAGAGCATCTTAAAGAGTATTGTCTGATTGCACTAACTCTATACCTATTGAAAAGTAAAATATTTAGCACTCCAATGTTTATCAGCATTTTTCCATCTTCTCACCGAACATGGGTCTATTCTCTCCATTGCTCTTCTTTTCATATAAAGAAGCCTTCTAAAAATGCTCTTCATCATTATTTTCCTCTTTGGAAGAGAATAAAAAAGAAAGAAACTGAAATGATAAATGCAATGCCAAAAGATGATGATGAAGACTGCTGTGATTGGTGTTTGCACTATTGCGTACTCAGACATGTGTAGGATAGCATGGGATACTGCAAACACCAAATATTCAAAAAGGCAGCAGGAAATTGATAATGTGCTCAGTTGAAGCTAATCTATGCAAATTAAGCATTTTTCAGGAAACAAACTGATCAGATTATGCAAAATTCCTCATACCTAAAGTTACTCAAATAAAGAAACAAACTAATGAATACTAATGATGCAACCAAGGAAATACATGTGAAGCAGAACGAAATTAAAGTTAGATTTGGAATATTTTTAGCACGGCAAAATTCTTATTATTAGTATTGAAGTTTATCTAGGATTAGAACTATCTGAGTTTCTATTTTAATCAAGAAACTCGTTTCCCATTCATTTTATGGGTGTTTTGGATTTCATTATTAGA